ATAATTGAATCATTTTTGACATAATTGACATATCTTCTCCTCTTGTCAGAAAACAAATTGAACATGTTGTTGCAGTGCAGCTAGTCACCTCTCTGCCAGGATATTTTCTGAAGATTTTAAATAAATCTTTAGACAAATAGTAGGATAGAACTACTGTTGTTAAAGCTGATGATCTGGCAAGTTGCTAAATGCTGACTCATTCTAGTACACTTTTACTATAACTCTATTAAATATCAGTGCTACACTTAATAATGTAAACTACCACATCGTACTTCCACACAGAATTTATTTGGTATCTCGGGTACTGCCCTAAAATGGTTTAAATTCCACCTTTTTAATGTCAGCTTTTTATTTATTCTTGTTGGCTTTAGTTCTAAGATTGGTTATGTATGATGTTCCTCAGGGATCAATTTTGGGACCCATGCTATTTAGAATTTCTAGGTTTACTTTTGGTCAAATAAAAAAATTACGCGATTTCAATATTTGTTTCTATGCAGATTAAATTCAAATGTCCAGTATAAACGTTTGGATGATACAACGTTTTTTTTTGTATTTAAAGACTGTGGAACTTGGGTTCCTCCCATCAGTTAAGTAAATCCAATTCTCCAATTCTTGTCATTTGAAATCACTTGGTTTCAAAGCAGGAATTTAAAAACATTCTCAGATTCTTTATTTTAATTGTACTGTTTCTAAACAATCTAAAGTGCTGAACATTGTAAAGGTATTTGTGTTCCATCTTTGAAATACTGCTAGGCTGCATCTTTTGTTGTCAGTGACCTTAGTGGAAAAACAGATTTGTGTGTTTGTTTTTTCTTGTAATGATTCCTGTATTTCCCTGCTTGAAGAAGCTTCTAAAATTACACTTCACAAGCCACAGTTGCCGCAGAATTTGGCAGCTAAGCTAGAATCATAATAAGGTTTCACCCAGATGATAACATCACCTCTACATCGCATCTTTGCACAGGCATCCTGTCAGGTTTTGAGATGATTTTAAAATCCTTCTGCTTACATTCAGGGTTTTATGGCACCTCAGCCATTTTCTCCCTTCCATACAGCCTTCACTCAGCTGATTCTGGTTTATTATGTGTTCCCAATGTTTGTCTGCGCTCTGTGGGGGATAAGTACTTTTATTTATAATGTCACTGAAGGTGTCTGAAAACATACTTTTTCAGAAAGACTTCACGATTGTGTCTCCTGTGTTTTCATACACATCTTCTAATTTCATTTTGATATGTGCTTCTTTTGTATTGGTAAGCACTTTGAGACAACTGCATCTAAGTGTGTCACATGAAAATAAGATTATTATCATTATTATCGAGTAAGTGCCATTAGTACAACATAAGAAAAAAATCCTTCATTAGCAAGAACCGAATAGTCAGATGTTAAAGCAGTCATGACAGCAAATACTTCTATTGGTTTTCTCTTTACTGCTGTCGCGGAGAGTGGAAAATATTAGAAGACTGTGTTATATTTAACCCTAAGGGCCTGGTTTAAAAGACCAGATAACAGAAATGATGAAGTGCAAATTTGATATGAAAACTCAGAATATATAACTTTAATAATTAAAATCCTGCTTGATGTTTTTCAGAGCAAAATAATCAAGGTGAGCTAGCTAGCTGGACATCTTTCAGGAAATTTAAAGCGTGAATTTAGTATTTTTGTACTTGTGAAAACCTCAGCTGTGTAACCTGATCGACGGAAAGTCCTTCTTTTCACAGAGCAGGTACAGCTAATGCATAGTATCTCCAGCACACTGGCTGGTGAGCGTACCTAATGCCCCCACCGCAGAGCAAATGAGTGAGAGGGTAGTTCCGTCCCTGGCCTTATTTTCCATTATTATTATAATTAGAATAATCCTTTATACAGCATTTTATATTTAGGTACTGTATATTTAAGTGCATTATGCCATCTAATAATTGTTCTCTGTTTTAACTGCTATTACTCATCAGTCGGGATTATATGTATATATATTTTTTTCTAATAAACAATTATCTTAAATAGTTACATTAATGCATCCCAGCATTTTAGTTCAAGGGAAATTCATTTTTCAAAAATGAGTGTTCATAGATTAGAACCTACTATTAGCTTAAAGCATGTGAGTTTTTAGTGAGGAACTCGTGTCGTGTTTTCATTATACTGTATGCTTTTATTTAGCAGACTGGGCAAGGGGCCATATATCTTAAGGCAAGATTCCATCTTCCTCTTCTGAAATATTTGAAACTGCACAATTTTGGTGAGGGTGTAAGTGACACTGTGGTGGTGTGCAATAGAAATAGTTCACTAAAGTGTGAAAACTGGTCAGTTTGTACACTAACTTTGAAAAGTCCTGACATGTCTCTGTATGCTTTTGACTGTAGTTAGGAAAACCAGTATGCATAAATGTTATTTTTAATCATACATTGATTTTTTTAACTGAAAAAATACTAGCAAAAATTCCTTTGGTATTCTGTGTTTTTTCAAAACACTTTGATTCTTGTTCTAGCAGGCTCTATTAGGATATTTTCTGCATGACATATTTTCAATTGTGGACAACAATTTGTTCGTCTTCCTGTCTTTTCAATGGAATAATTCAATTAATTCTGATGTTACCATGTATGAAAAGCATTTCTACTCTATAAGACAATGCTAGCCGTTGTAGGAATCCGTTACTTCAAGAACTGTTGTATCCAACACGTGAATCTGAAATTAAGAAAAAATTGTAGAGACAAATAAATTAAAAGATTAACAAAAATACACGACCCTTTGAATTAGACTTCTAGTTTTGTAGGTGGTATGGTGGTGCAGTAATAAGCTCTGGTAATAAGTGTTGGTTTCCACTCTGTCTTTGTGTGAAGTTTTCTTCTTCTCCGATTTTTTTGCATGACTTTTCTCCAGGTTCTTTGCTTCCTTCCTCCTGTCCACTGAGACGTTAAGGTTAATTTAGTGCCTCAAAATTGTGTCAATTCGGTAAAGTGAGAGTCTCTATCTATTCGACTTGTCCAGTGCCTCCCAGGTAAAGTACTCGAAGGATAAAGTGGTTACAGTAAACGTATGGATGGGTGAACTTTGTAAAGCTTTTATGTTTGCTCTTATTTTATTGTTGGTCTTTTGAATGGTGATTGATGACTTCCTGTTGTCTGGGTCCATTGAGCATGTAGTGTGGATATAGCCAATCCGAGCCAATCTGAGATCGTACACGCTGCCTGTAGGCGTACCTGAAGGGTCCTGCATGGCTATACAACTGCATGGGCAGTGCTTGCCCGCCCTGGTGACTGCCGCAGAGCACATTGCTTCACTGCGGACACTACACCTTCATTGCCCTAGAATGCATTTTGAATGTCACTTGAGAAATGCAGGATGCCTTTTATGTCCTCTGTGAACATAGTTGCCCCATGAAGAAATACTTCACATAATTTATATAGTTTTTTTTTTTTCGTGTGTTCATTTTGTTTTAAGAATATTTGAAAACTCTTTTTGAAATTAAGTTATGAGGCTTTATACATAGAAAAACATAATACAACTTAATGTAAAAGAGTAATTCCTTCATACTTTTGCTGTATAAGAATCCTTTTGACCCCAGTACTAGCTGTAAGCCATCACCCATCCCAGTGAAATGAATGAAAACAGTTACCTAGAAGCTTTTTGGATATCTGAGTTAATGTGTAAAGGCCTTATTTACTTGATGTTGGGCTTGTCATTGCCTGCCTTTCATCCTTTTGGAAATATTAAGATAGATTGTTTCCAAGTCCTTTAATTTTCGAGAAAAAGTAATGATTAGTTTTTTTTAAATGTCTTTTTAGGTTCTCAAGGATAGACTTGTTTAGCTTATTAGCTGTATTCTTAAGGCTTATATCCTTTCTTTCATTTTTACAGCTTAATCTTTTGTAATACTGTTGAGTGACAGTGACCTAGGGCAGAAAGTTAGTGTCTACACTTGTAAGAACTTGTATAGAAAATACAGCTTTAGTAAGTTGTGGCAGAATAGTACCTTTCTTGAGCATTAACATTAGAGTTGGTTTTGTTTAGAAAGTATCTTAAATTTAAACTTTATAAATTTAACTATCTGGATGGAGGATATGGGGAAAAAAAGCTTTTCTTTCCAATGTTACAATGAGGCTGCACATTTAGATAAACATCTATCTACAAAATAAAAACTGAAATATGACAGTTTGGTATACAACATCATAACAGAGAATGTGCTTTATTCTTCTACTTGTAATAGCCAAGTGAAAAACTGATGCAGTTCCGTGCAAACAGCAGTGTGATCATTTTGCTCAGAAGTTCTTGATTCTGGATACCTAAAAACAAGTGTGAGAAGCTGCTTGTTTTTCAGTTCTTAATAGTTTCATGAATTCAAGAATCTCATTGTGCCACTGGCTGAGGAAACATCATCCTCAACACATTTAGTCACTTTGTTACTCATCTGTCACAGGGGCCTGAGGACATAAACATTGTAGAGTGGCTTAGACTGATACCATCCCTTTGAAAAGCGGTTCAGATACAGTCAGGAAAATGCAACTGTTTCAGAATTAAAATGGAAAAGGTCAAAACTCAACAAGATATTAGACGTGTCGCTTATAACAGTGAAATAGTGCGCTTTGCTAAAGTGCCTGTTGAGAAAGCATTGAAATCATGACATTTTCAAATGAGTCAATAGTTCCCATCTACCATACTCTTAAGTCACATCATAGTATATTGGGATCTAAAGATTTCTGATACATCCTTGCTGAACTGCTCTGTCAATGAATCCACATTGTTCTATTCAGCATATCAATGTCTTCCATACTTCCTGACTGTAGCTTGCAGGATTTGGAATTCTCTTTCAGAATTATGCATAAAAGAGGTGTTCACCAGGATAATTGTTTAAATATGCAGTGTTCATTTTGTTTTTTTCTTGATGTTATGACTGCTGTAGGTTAGCATGCAATTTTGTGGTGCTGACATGGTGAGTATTTTGTTAATGAGACGTAACCAAATGAATGGCAGCGGTTATCTTCAGTCGCAGAGAAAGATCTACTCACCTGCCATTTCAGAGCATCAAACAGTCTCCTGATTCGAACACAATCATAAGGGATGGCACTGGAATATCAACTAAAAACAATCTCAAAAGCACCATGTGGGCAAATAATTTGGAAACATTTCTCCATGCTGAGCTACTCAACGTTTTTTCCAAATATTGTCACTTTTAAGGATCAGAAGCCTTGTGCTCATCATCGAATTCCTTTAAGTTTGTAAGTTCTGTGTTTTAAGATTTGCCTCAATCAGGCAAACATTACTTTCAGGTGCTCTGGTTTCTTCACACACTCCAAAGACATACTGGTAGGTTAACTGGTTTCTGTGTCTGTGTGTGCCCTGTGATGGACTGGCATCCCATCCAGGGTGTACTGTACCTCACCTTGTGCCCATTGCTTGCTGAAATAGGCTCCAGCTCCCCTGCTTCCCTGAAGTACGTGAAATGGTTAGCAGATGGATGGATGGATGGAAAACTAAGGGTTTGTAATACAGGGAAGTGGATAATTATTTTAAAAAGAGAGAACAGATATTTGTTACACACAGGTTGCAAATAGCCCATAACAAGAATACCACTTGTGTCATAGGTTTCCAATACTGAGCACAAGCTAACAGGCTTTTCTAGTTCTGCCCCTTTCTGCAGTATTTATGTGAAATATGAGCAGCATACTCCTCTTTAATACCAATACCGATATCATGATGTGTTCACCCTCAGCAAAATTAAAATTTATAGTAGATATCTAGCAATAAAACAATAGTACTTCAGATTTAATGAATAGGTAGGATGTGACTGACGCTTACAAATGAGACCTTAGAGAAATGTTGCATAGCCTAATAGAGATTAAAAGCATACCTGTCATAGTTTTAACTGTTTGAAGTTGTCTGCACAATACAAGGTGAACTGATTGCCTCTGATACTTAGCCTTGTACTTTGAAGAAAAACAGTAGTGCAGACAGTGAAAACTGAAAAGAAATCCTTGACTTAAGCAGAACTAAAGAACTGTGTTAAAATCTTTGGTAGCAATCTCATAACATCTTTAAAGTTTACACATTGTTATGGTTGTGAGATGCTCCTCATTAATCCTCAGATCTGCATCTCCACCTAGACTCTTACATGTTAGGAAAAGGCCAAATGGGAGGTGTTTTTAAAGTTTGTACTCTTTAGGTGCCAACCATCAATTACAAAGGCTTGCAATCTCCATGCAGATTCAGGCCACCAGCCTCGTTAAAATTGAAGAAACGCAGAAAAACATATATACTGTACTTTCAGGTAGGCTGGTGCTTTATGAATTGTCATATGAACAACAATCATTGGAGCTTTTCATATTATAATATGTGAGACTTGCTGCCTTTAATAGATATTTCTATAATTGGATATTCTAAGAAGATGAACTCATTCTTGAAGTTCTCTTGCTGTATGTTAATTGAAATGGGTCAGGTCAGTGGTGCACATCTCCAAACCCTCCTGGGCTGCAATCCAGCAGCAGGTTTTATGTGTCTCCTTAAATCATCAACAGCTTAGAGTTCAGTAAATATTGGAATGATTCAGCCAATTAGTTGAATTAGGTAACTGAGAGCAGCAGAGGAATAAAGACTAGGAGACCCTGTGGCTTTTGAGGACTGGAGCCATGCAGTCCTGATCTAGTTTCTATTTAGCACTTTAAAGCTTGGATGGCCACATTTCAGCACAGCCTGAAACAGGGATTTTTTGGGGGGTAAACCTTAATAATGTGAAAAACGTTTAGTTATACATTCCATATATCAAATTGAATTCAAAATGTATCTTGTGGAAGCGAAATAGAGCCAAGATAGGTGTGGTCTTTAACTCTTTTATTTAGAAACACATGTACTGTATGTGAAACACTTCATGATCTGAAACTGATGTCTGGCACTTTGTTTTTGTTGCTTCTTCCCGAGAAAATGGGTGCAAATAACAGGCTAGAATAAAAGCCCTTAAAGAAAAAGGGGACTCAATTAACTATAATTATAGGTGTGGAAATTTGTTATCGCCTTGTGAGCACTCATGCTACTGGCCCATTTTATTTCAAAGTCTGGTTTGTAAATATTCATACTCCTTAGCCCTTTGTTCAAATGAGCACCTTGCTCAATATGATCTGTTGTGGCTCTAAAAATACAAATAATAAAAAATAATAACAATGACTGAAAGGGGGAGGGGGGAGGAATATTGAACATCAAAGACTTCCGTATCTTTGTGGCATGTAAACACCACATGCCTTTAGTGAGCCAAAGAGCCCTTTTTAATGATTTTATGGAAGATTGCCACATTGACAAGGCCTGTAATAAATAAAATTAACAAACATTTCTGTAGGGTTTGTTCAAAGGAAAGAAAGCCAAATGTTTTTTTTTCAGATAAGCGGGCTATACATCCCCTGTTCTCCCCTGATTATCCTAATCCAGTCAGAACTGTGAGCAGGGTTTTGATTGAGTGAGCTGGTGGTGCCCCAGGGGAATCTTTCTGATAAGTGCCTTTACCTTTCACCTCAGGAACCCCACAAGCTAACGTCCCTTCAGTCTCGTTTGGTAAGAGAAAACGTGCTTTGGCAAAAAAGATGACTACCCTCCGCCTGGAAAAAGGTTCAACTGCTCTACCCTCTTTTGGAGTCAAACTGCACTACCTTGGTCGCATCACCTGCAAATGAGCAAAACAGAGAGGATTTAAATATCCTTCTGATGTGTCAACATCCTGCTAACTTTGAGGAGCCTAATGGAAAAGGAACGGCCTCAGGGAGTATCGTCTGGTCAGGAGACCTCGGGAGATGTTCTGGTTGGGCCAGTCTTAAAATTCTTGTGGCCATTCACCTCAGAAATAATCTTGCCAAGACAGCTTTCAACGAAGAGATGATATGCAGAATTACATCATCCACAGTGCATGCAGGAACAGGTCATTATTTGTCAATAAATTATGTTTAATATATTGTGACATTACCTGTAAATGAAATATTGTCTTTGTGGCTAAGCCATTGATGAATAACTAAATCTGTGAGCTCCTTAAGAAGAATGAGGCCTCTCCACTGTTAAAATGAAATGTAACAAAGCTGCTAACAAATCTGATGTGTTATTTGTGTCAGTTTGTCCAGAATGTTGGAATCCGTGTCTTCAATAGTTAAAGGTGGATGTTCTAGGTTGGCACTGTTGCTCAGATGTGCTTTTGTATTGCTGCCTTGCAGTGCTGGGGCCCTGGGGTTGATTTCCGGGGGGTTATCTGTGTGGAGTGTGTATGTTCTCCCTGTGTTTGCATGGCTTACATCTCTTGCTCTGGTGTTTGTTTGTGTGTGCCCTGTGATGGACTGGCATCCCATTTAGGGTGTATCCTATCTCGTGCCTTTTTCTTTACGGGATAGGCGCTGACACTGTAGACCTAAGCAGAAATATTTTAAAATCTATTAGAAGTCTGACAGGAAGGTTGCGCAAACACTTTGAGACAGGAGTATTGAGGTCACTTATGCAAGACCTAGTCAGCAGCTGACTTCTGAATGTACAGCAACATAAGTATAGTTTTATTTGTCTCCTTCATTTAGCATGATACAATAATTAATCCTTGAAAAACAAACCGGATAAACCTGTTTTACTCCCACAGTCACTGACAGTATCAGATGAATCCTCAGGATATTTCTAAGTTGGAAAACTATCTTTACAATATTCTGCACCTAAGGTTTAAAAGGATTATTCTAACATACACATTTGCCCCCAGATTCTTTATTTTGAATCAAAGCTCTTGCACATTGCCATCAATTCATAAGGTCAAAGAGTTGGTTTTATGTAACTGAAGAGAGAGACTCAATAACCTGACCTCAGTCTTGCATCTTGATTTCCGAAATAGGCATCCCAACCTTTTATATCAGAAATGCAATCAAAGAGGATTTAATTGCTACCTGTCTTTACTATTAACATAGATTTAAATCTCATCAGCATAGAATTAAATTTCAGACCCCGTAATTTTAGCACGTGACCATTTCTACTTTAACCAATGTATTGGGTGAAACAGACTAAATATCTGCTTGTAAAGCCAACAGTTTGTTTGTTCTGAATATATGTAGAATGAATAGGAAACACACCTATTCTATGCATGTTCAGGGGGTATATGATTTAAATATACAAACAATTCAAGTATCCCAGGATAGTTGTTTACTTTCATTATTGTGAAAAGCTTTATATTTAGCCAGCTGAGGGAAGAGAAATACAGAATGACTAATGCCTCATCAGAGAAGCAGAACGTTTTCTTTTCCTACCTTCCTCTCTTCCTCTGTTGTCAGTTTGTAAGAAAAACCTCTGTTTTTTTCTGTTTGAAGACAAAAGAGGTGAAAGGATATACACATAATCTTAACCACGCCTACATCTGCTTATTTGGAAAGCTGTCATAAAGCTCTTCTTTTGCACTAACAACTCTATGGAGGCCCTTAAATATTAATATTTTCTCTTATATACAGGACACAATTTCTGCTTTGCAAATGGCAGTAAACTGTGACTAGTTCTTTTCATTATATCAGGTCCAAACTATTAACTGGGTTAGCATATCTACAACTTACCTGTCATGGGTCTGGACTGTAAAGCATCAGCTTTGGAAAACATGTACAGTAGCAGCCTCAAAATTTCAGGGCTTTAGTTTGTTTTCCAATGACTCATATCCATCTGTTATATATGGGTCACAGTCCAAACATGAAGGTTTTCTCAACAAATCTGGTAAATATATTTCTTTCACAAGATTGTTCACCAAACAGAGAGATTGGAAGAAAGTTTTGATTTATCCTACAATCAGATTATTTACAAGGCAAAGGGCATTCACGTCCATGCGTCAATCTTTTTCAAGAGGAAGACGGACAAGTGCAGTGCGCTATCACTTTTAAAATTCCCATATGGCCATTGCAAATTGGTTTCTACTGGCAACCGGTTAATTGCAACTGGGTTTTTGAACATGTTAATCCCTTTTGTTATTACTGATGTAGCTAAAAAAAAAAAAAGACTAGGAGATCTGAAACACTGCTTACAGATTTAATTACCTTTCTCTAAGCCCTGCAGGATAACAGGTTCACTCACCCAGCACTCTAACT